TGTGGCTAACGCGGCTTTCATGGTGATAGTTCCCCAGGCCCAGCCCATTGCAAGGCCGACGCAGATCATGAGACCGGCCATGAAATGGATAAACACAACGCCCGAAGGCGGCATGATGAACAAGACAACGCTAGATGCATGGTTAATGAATGAGACGCAGCCATAAAAGTGCATCGTATCTCACCATCCGAAGAATGCCGCCTGGCCGAGCACCCGCAGGGTATCATTGATAAAAATAAAGATGGTGAGGATCCAGACTGCCAGGGAGCATTTAAACAAGATCTTGAGATCCCTGGCATTGAAATGGTCCAGCCACGCGGGAAGCTTCTTGGGACTGTTGAAAGCATGAAAAGACGCCTCCTCGTCTCCCATTGAGTTCTCGTGATTCGATTTCGGCCGTTTGAGCACCATTTTCGGCTCTTCGCGGGATAACCGGCAGTGTTGATGCTAATGTTTTGATGACGTTTTAAAATATGGAGGTACAGAGTCTCCATGCCCGCCAGTGCGAGGTGCAAGGCGGGAATGGCGCATTGGGGCCCTTTTACGTTAGTCATGACCAAAGCTTCTCAGCTCGTATTTACCTGCACTAAGACAAATGAGTACTTGAGGATCATCAAGGTTTTATCTAAACGCGACAGCTTAATTTCCTTTTCATTTAAGCGACAGCGCTTGAATTCGTTCAATCTCTATTCCGTCCTAGCCTGGAGTATGCATGCAAGGCGAACTGGAACTGAGCTGTCAAGAAATATGGTGATAGCTTGGGCAAGCGATGAGTACTTGTGATTAAATTCCGGTACAGTGGGAACTGGCGAGTCTGCACTGACCTTAAATGTATGCGCTACATCATGTTATTTAGGCGCGTGCTCCTCTGTCTCCTTTTCCCATCGCGCACGTGCATTCTCATTCCTCGGCATGATAGGCCTGGACAACGAAGAGTTTGGATTCCCGAATCGAATTAAGAGACTTTGCAATAGTTATGCCCATGTCCATTCAATTGGCTGACACGAATCTAACCTCTGCTTCTCAGTTTGGATCAAAGCAAGGCAATCCACGTTGTATTTTCCAATTGACTCACCCGCAAGACCAACATCTTCATTTCTCAAGCTTGACAGTACTGAAGCCATAGCGATCATTTATCTCTATCACGCCGAGATACTGAACAAGTTTATTCAATCATGAGCATCATTATTTGTCTCCATGTTCTCCCAAGCGCTTGGCAATCTAGGCATTCGTGAGTTTATGGAACTTTCGAGGATTCTGAACATCATGAATTGAAAGACTCATTCATATAGCTAATCAGTTTTATGCGCTGGATTAACCATGGCCATACTCTATACCAAACTCCAATGGTAAATGATTACCTTATCTGGGTACGCCGATAAGAGTCGGCTGAGAAGATAAGCTTATCGGTCGCCTGATCATTCCTAAAGCACACTAGCCCAATCTTCATCCTTATCTCCCTCTTCGCCTCCGACCATCGCTATCATGAGTTTCCCCCGCCTCTACCGGCCGCAAATGACATAAACCCGGAAAACAAACATGTTTTCTTGCTTCCCCCGGCAAACTCAATCTCTGCCTCACCTCTGATGCCACCTCAGCGTCGATCATGGGTTGGATGTGCAAGGTGCAAGAGTTTCAAGAAGAAGTGCAGTGAGGAGAGACCCGTCTGTCAGAGATGTCAGAGTGCTGGGGCCAAATGCGAGTATGGGGTCAAGTTGCGCTGGGGAGGGAGACCGTTCAATCGCTCGCCTTTTGGGGATTGTTTATCGCAGAATGACGGCAATGTTGAAAGACTAGGTAAGTGAGTCACTTGAATTTCAAGATTTCACATATACTTACTGTGGCAGATTTAAACAAGAAAAACTTCATTTATGTTTCCCCTTCCACTCCCAAACCAGCTCCAACAAAGGTCACATCGCCCATTCTGGATAGCGCCCCAAAGCATACAGAGTGGATAGCCAGTTCTCCGGTAGCTTCAGAAGCAGAGTCCCTTGAATATTCACAGCTAGTCCTGAGCCAACGACAAACATCAATGCCCCCAACTCCCTCCGTCGAGTATTTCGGCCATCTATCTCCTCTGCACAGATCAGGTCTCCAATACTTCACCGAAAGAACAGTCCGGGCTCTCGCGCCTCATCCTCAGATCTTTGACGAATTATGCGAACTCATCTTACCTATGGCAGTCTTTAATGAACCTTTGTTGCAAGGCATTGTTGCGCTCGCAGCTACTCACCGACTGGCGAGTTGCAAAACAAACGAGGAGCAAACCTCACAGGCCCTCATCGTCGCCGGCTTTCAGGCCTTGAGCTCCAGATCACTCTGCCAAATGCTTTCTGCATATGCGGAAGACCAACAACTCATACCCCTTCTAGCTACGGCGAGAGCCTTGTTTGTCTGTGAAGTGTTCGCCAGTGAGCCTAGTGCAGATCGATGGAGTGTGCACTTTCGAGGAGCGCGTGGGCTGATTTCCAGAATACAAGACAAAGGTCTCTTGCAGAACCCGACAGACGAATTACGTTTCCTATTACGGTGGTTCGACATGACAGAATCCCTGGTCTGCCATTCCATGAGCGATCTTGCTCCTCAACAGTCTGCTATCCCCACACCGACGACACTTCCATCAAGATTTAATGATGAACCTATATATATCGACATGTATCTCGCACGTACGAATGACTTGCTGGGAGTCTTCAAAGAGATTGCGCGTTTGTATCACATCAACAATACTGAAGCGACTCCCCACATTTCATCACAAAGCGGACAAGACGATGCTGAGGTCTGGTGGCTTCTAAGCTATCTGCAGAGCATTATCGACCGAGACCAAGCAGACCCCCCTCCTGTCATGTCAATACGCGACCGAGTCCTCTCCGTCGCCGAAATCAATGAGTACAGACTATCGAATCAAATTTGGCAACTTACGGGACTTCTGCTCATTCACCGACGTTTGCGTCGCGAACCTAGGACCTCGACGCTTGTTCAAGACCTCGTCCAACGTATTCTTGAGAGTGCAGAACGCATGACGCTGCGCGATGGCCTCACCCCCGTCACACTGTTGACGCCTCCTCTTTTCTTTGCGGGATGCGATGCGCTTGGTCCTGACAGGCCGAGAATAAAGACTTCACTGCAGGGTGTATCGACTGCCTTGGGTCTCTTGAATACACAAAGGGCGCTAGAGATCTTGGAAGAGTACTGGGAAGCGGACCCAGGCGTCGATGATGATTTGGCCGATAGATCATGGCCCAAGATCAGTCAATTTCTGCCATATTGAAGAGAAAGGATTTTGTATAACTAATTCTCACGAGTTTTAAGATGGGTGGCGTTTGTTTTTCGATTCTATGAGTTTGTTGCGCTCGCATTGTTTATTATGACTCTAAACACTCTAATCTGTGAATAAATCACCGCAGTTCTGCACCATTTGAAACATATAATACAAGTTGCAAGAGACGTCGCATCGTTCTTATGTGACTCCACGACTCCAACTCCAAGATACAAAGAAAAGTGCTCCGTAGGGGAACTCTCTACCACAGCTACCGTTAGAGGCCAGCACCAAACTCCACCTCCAGTTTTGATAACATCCTTAGTTCTGCTTCCTCATCGCAAAGACGCTCAGGAAGATACTCCAGCCAAATCCTACACAGACCGCCACCAAAACTCTAGACCGCACGGGTACCCAAAGGAAGTTGCATACAGCTACCAGTGGCCAGATGTGCCAGCCTGCTTTGATGAGCGGCCATAGTCTGTTTCGAATGACTTCTGTGACCAGATAGGGATGTGCCACGCGGGCGATGTTTGTGCAGATGAGAAAGACGCTGCCGCTGATGGCTAGACCAATGGTTTGATCAAGGATCAGCTTCGCGAAGACATTGCGCCATATGAGATCCGGGCTGAGATTGTACCATCTCTTTGACTTCACTGGGTTATCATCATCCTTCTTCTCCTCAACCTGCTTTGGATCTGCTTGGACCTGGGGCAGGATCTCGTTGGCTCTGATCGCGTGACCAGTAGGGAAGCAGTCCTCCAGGACGAACTGAATGATGTTGCCAATCTGAGAGCCCAAGCAGCCGTAGACAGCAAACTCGACAACCTGCTGCAGATCAAAAGTCGACACGCCTGGTGTTCTGATATGGATGATGAGCTGGGTGACCAGGTTGGCCGAGACTTTGATGGCCGTTGCCTGAAGGGCGAGGCGGAGATTGAGGGCGCGGACCATAACGACGGGGAGGCCTGGGCAGGACCCTAAAAGTGAGGGGGGGGAGCCTGTTACGTTGGAGTCATGAGAAGAGGCCCTATGGGTAGAGAAAGTGAAGCGGGTACGGGGGGTGGCAAGGCTGAAGGTGGTGGGTGGTGGGTGGGATGTTGAGTTGGGCTGGTTGGTGTATGTGTCTGTATCTGTATCCGTAGAAAGTGGGAGATAAGGTTCCGTTCACCAAAGGTGATTAGTGACAGGCTGGCTTGTGCAGGGTTTCCCCTGACTGTTGGCGAATGAGAACAGCTGTCCCTTTTGTGGGGCCTGTAGCTTTCACCGGCTGCTGGGGTCTGACTGGCATTGAATCCGTTCCTTTTGGTGTTACACAGCAGATTTTGCAAGATCGAGAATTTACTTGTTATATTCACGTAGATTGTTTGTAGATATTAGATTAAGCATGCCGTTGCCAAACTCAGATGCGCTACGTGTGTGCAGCTTCAACGGCTTACTATTTGGCCCGCTGATGGTAAATCTCAAACCTTTATGCACAAAGAGCACAAAGCCGTGTGTTGACGATTAAAGTATGTGTCATGGGAGCCCAGGAATGAATGCATGGAAGGAAAGTCATAAAAGTGTATTGAAATGCAAATAAGACTTCACGAGGAACGTAACTGTCTTCATTATACCCATCCCTTGAGCTGCTTGTCTTGGTACCGGGTAGGTTAATTCAGTCAACACAGACGACCCGCAAAAGGTGAAACATCACGATGGAGGCCAAAAAATGTGGATAACAGTGGGATCAAACCACCTAATCTGGACGAACAGGGAATCGAACCCTGGACCACTCCCAAGGACGAGCTCATTGAAGATAACATGCTAAGGGAGTATTATACCACTAAACCATTCGCCCGAATGGATGGTAGTGACGTTTGCAATTGACCCCTAGGACTTCGACACCTTGGGGTTGAGAGTCGGAATGAATGACCACCGACAAGCTCACGAGACATCGATGCAGCAGCGGTTTTGAGCACGTTGTGTAAAATTTGAGAAACAAAATCGTATCTAGCTAGCACAGAGAACGGTCAGAACAAGCGTACGCTGAGTTTCCTTTCAATATTAGAGATTGAGGTTGGTGAACAGGCGAACAGCTGCCTGACAGTGCCCACCTCCGCCATCACATTCACTCACTTGGGCTGCCCACCATAAATTTCTCGCGCGCTCATTTTGTTTTGATTTTCATTCCTTACCTTTCAATCTTTCCACCTCCGATGGAAGCTTCTGATTCAAACGCGCCCGCCGGCGGTGATCTGGTACGTTATGTCGCTACAGCTCTTTTCACTCAGGCACATTACTGACTACGACAGAGCATGTCGGAATTTCACTATTTCCTCGATCTCCCTCGGGAGCTGCAGGACGAGATTGTATCTAACGCCATACCCCCGCTGACAGTACCCTGCCAATTCCTGACCGGACTGATGATCTCCGCAGGCGAGCACAGCTTACTCTCGCTCAAGCTGTCGTGCCGCAACATCTACGAAGCTGTGCAGCGAGTGCGCCAGGTCAAGGCCTTCTCCGCCGTGCATGCCCCCCCAGGCCCGCCTATCTTCAGCTTCAACCCAGAAAAGGATACCCTGCGAGTGTGGGAAATGCGGCTGCCAAGGTCCACAAGCTCGCGTGTCGAAAACGCTGCAGGTCTTCCGGTCAAGAGACTCATTTCGATGACCAAGAAGCTGCGCGTTGCCTTTGATTTGTGGCTGAAGGAATTACAACCAGGCAGAGACTTGGATTTTCAGGACCCGGCTTCGCCATCCAGAAAGCTCAAACTCGAAAAGCTACCACATCTTCAGGAGCTCATCATCGTATCGCCATCAGCCGACAGGTTTTAGTCGAATCCTCGCTTTTGGACGGACGGTCCCCAACATGGGGAGGGGGTAGAACCATCAGAAGAATCTCTGCAACAACATATCGGACATACTTGGGAGGCAAACCGCGAAAGATACCCCGGCATCATGGTAGAGATCCTTACTTCGTACACCGAGGTTAGAATGATGAGCCGACCCCCGAATTTGAAGCCAATGAAAATCGGTCTACATGGTCACACCCAGGCGCGGGACGTGCTGGGAGGTATCTGGGCTGGCTTCAGATACTTTGAAGAAACCCAAGAGGTGTGGTTCAGCCCACTGGCATGGTATGAGGTTCGCGACATTATGATGATACCAGCCACAAGCACGACGGGTGACGAGGAAGCCCTGTTTGAAGAACACCACGCGCAGTTCGTTGCCCGCGTCTGGGTCATCCGCAGCGGTCAAACTGCACCCAAAGATGAACCACACCACCGTTGGACAAAGGTCAATTACGTGCATGGAAGGGAGCCTGAATGGGCTTACAAGATGCTGATGACTTGGGAAGCGATTTGGCGACTGGTAGACGCACAGACGTATGGAAAAGAACTTTACACACTGCGGAACTGAAACTCAGGGTGGATGGATCTGGGCGTTTGAGGCGCAGAGAAGATTGCTGTTGGGAGTATGGGCAACGGGCGATACTGCGATGTTCTGGGCAGGGCTGATGATAGTCACCTTCTCTTGATCGATTGATCGATCGAGACTATCATGTAATGTTCATACAAACCACTGAGTTGCACAAAGGTACAATAGGACAAAGAAAAATGAGAGCCTGGTTTTTATTTCGTATCACTGTCGCAAGATATGCCGTGCATAGGTTAGTACATGAGGACATTTTAGACAAAACCAGAATTCAACAATCTCCTCATCTTCTATCACGGGTAACTAATGTTCAATTCACAAGGCAAAAAACATACAACAGCGGGGATTCGCTGGTCGTCACCGACCCAACTACTAATCCGCCCCTTACCAGCTTATCTATGGGAGAGCGGACGGGATCCCGAGTTCTCTGATAGGTATGGTCGTATGTGTGAGATGACTGTGCAGAATGAGTATATGCCGGTGTGATGTGGTAGGACACGAGAGCATGGCCAGAGTGGTGGGGGCTTCAGTTGGTGCATCACAGAGAGAATGACTGCTGGTAACTTCACGTAACGCACCCAGCGGTCGGTGTTGTGATAAAAAGACGAAAAAGGAATCACGTTGGCTGACTCGTCTCTAGGAACATTTCCGCCAACTATGTCCAGTATCCGTTAGATACATGTCCCCTTCCTCCTTGTTCATTAAATCTTGGACCAGTTCACATCACCATCCACAAGGCCAAGATACTTCCCACCAATCCGCCCACCAAGTTTGGCATCTTCATGACTGATGAGTTGCCCGTCTCAGAAGGACCGGCATCGGAATTTGTAGCCGAAGCCGCTTGTTTTCTGCTCTCGCCAGTGCTGGTTACTGACGGCTTAGAATCGTGAGTAGCAGATGCTTCAGAGCCCTGCAGATATTTCGAGCTTGCACTCTCGATTATAGAGCTATAGTCTTTTGCCGTAACGGGGACGCGGGTAGCGCAGCTAACAGACTTGGGTTCCCAGGAGCTTCCAGTGCAGATGGGCCATCCTTCGCATGTGCTGAGGTCGAGCTTTCCGCCGACGCAGCAGGTACCGTCGCTATCGCTGCCGCTAGCTTGTAGGACGCCAGGACATTTTATGCCGTTGTTGGAACTACCACTGAAGATCGTAGTTTGTGCAGTGGTGCTTTGGAGAATGGATGCCATACTAAGAGCAGTGAGGAGAGTAGAGGTTGTTGAAGGCATAGTGAAAGATGATATGGTGATATGGTGAATTTGGATAAGCGTGAGGAGATGCTTGGTTTGATGAAGCAGGAGAAGCAGAGCGGCTACATATACTGCATCGACCAGCAAACTTTGTGCTTCCCGTGAGATTGTCAGATCTTCATTGATGATCGGGAATCTGCCAATGAAGGCCCTGAACTTGGAAAAAAATCCAGGACTATCGATCTTACTAAGCCGGTACAGGATTACGTGTTTGAAATGCCTTTCTGGTTATCGCAGTTGACAGTTGTTCTAAAACACTACAGTGCTGAACCTTCGCCTTATTCCCCAGATTGAGGGCCAGCTGAATGTAATTCCCCACAGGGATACTCAAAATGGGCATCCGTACTCCGTATTTTGAATCTTGTTCATCGCCGGCAGCTACCGGCCGAAGCCCAGCTTGTCTAGCTACATGCGGTAGTTCAGAGAGAGGTCCCTGCTTGGCTTCGATGGACCAAACCTTAACAGATCTCAGCTCGACGCGCACCAGGATCGTGAATGACGCAAATATCTTGTTTACCTGGGGTATTGTTGTTTCTTTCCAAAGTCTTTTGTTGTCATGAAGGGTTTATATCCCCGGGACCCCGGCGCTGTGGATATATACGGGTATCCTGATCGACAATACGTCTAGATGTGACTCGTCACGCCGGTACTCGAATACCCTGCAGTGAGCGGCCGACAGCATCAATTTGACAAATTGATCGCTGTGGAATGCTGATCAGGGTTGTTATTCATCGCTTTCCCATACTTGCGCTCTCCAAAGTTCAAAGCACGGCCTTCAGAACAAATCTGAAATGTTCTAGAACATCCAATTCCCTAACCGAACAACCCTCATTGACTGCTCAGCAGCGCGACTCCACGCGTTGAGAAAAAGCCATTCTAACCGCATCCGTGACCACAGCGCCCTAGCGTGCCATCGATTTCCCTACGGGGTATTTCAAGACCTGGCCCCCGTCGTCCTTGAAACCCTCTTTCTGCAGCCAAGCTTTCCCTCCCCCAGCCCTACGAACCTGTCACTTGGGCCCGATCTAACTCTTTTCTTCAGCTGATGATCTGATCTGGTGTTTCAGAGGCCCATTGACAGTCTCCACATGACACGGCACGGAAGACGTATCAAACGATGCGGTACATGTGTTGAGCGCAAGGTTAAATGCGGTGAGTCTAAATTCCCTCCATCCACTGACGAGTCTCTCGATACTGACGTTGGCGTAGATGAGCAACAACCTCATTGCCAACGGTGTAAAAACGCAGGTCTTACCTGTTCAGGATATCATAGCAAACTAAAGTTTGTCGACGAAGGGACCCGTTTCTCCTCAATCGTCACTTGTAACTCCAAGGCTGTTGCGAAGCCTGCAACAACGACAAAATGGAGTCGTCCTACCACTACCAGCAAAACCTTGACAAAGTGTGCCCAAACTCCAAAATCACAAATAACCTCTTTGCCACCCCCGAGAGAGACTCTCTTTCTGCCCTACACCTTGTCGAAGCTGTCTCCTGGCGTGTCTAGCGGTGATCCAATGCAAGCAGCCGGAATGTTTTACCAGTTACTCACAGCCCCCCAATCGGCCCTGCATCAGTCATGCGTGCAGGCATTGTCGGCGATGTACTTTGGCAAAACAAATCGTGATAGTCAAGCGTGCCAACAGGGTCTAATGTTCTATTCACGTGCACTGACGCAGCTTCGCGCTGATATCAGTAATGCAGCATCAGACTTCAGCACCATAATGAGTGTTGTCTGTCTCTGTTTATATGAGAATATTGTTTTTTCACAGCCAACTGCGTGGCTTATGCATTACGACGGGCTTGGAAGACTGGTAAGTTCACTGCTGCGGATGCATGGCAATGGCTTATCACTTGTAGTTACAAGCACAAGGTCCAAGACCATGGAGAACATCACAAGAAAGGCAAATCTTTTTATTTGCACGATACTATATAGTAAGTATTCCGTAATGGTCGAAGTGATCTTGCATCATCTTTACTAATCTGGACGCAGACCCTTTCTTCTGGACATCAGCGTCGCCACTGCTTCCTCGCCCAACCGCAATGGGAGCTTCCGCAATGCATGCCGGAAGGTGAAGAGCCCGATGAAATGATAAGATTGTCAGATATATTCGCCCAATGCCCCGGTATTATTGCGGATTATGACGAGCTACACAAAACAACGCCCGTAGATGCTGT